CATAAGTGAAGTGTAGGGTCGACTCACAGACTCCATTCTGGCCTAAAAGGAGTAAAAAAGGGTGGGTGGGAGAGAGAAAACACAAGAAAACTATTAGAGGTAAGCTTTGGCTGGGTAAAACTAAAAAGCAAGGACTCCGGGACATGCATGAAAAGATGCAGCAGCTGGCGATCATAAAGATGGTCAATGTCAGGAAGGCTAAAATCTGACTCCCTGGGCAGCAAGGGCAGAGAAAATGCGTTTACTGCCTAACAACCTAGGAACAATGTTCTGTTGTGAAAGCTGTCTGAACGGTGAGGGCTGTCCGGAATGGCAGCCCTCGGTGGGAGGGCCTCTGAGCACTGGCCCCGCCTCCACTCTGGCAAGGGGAGGGGTGTGGGCTCCAGTTCAGCTTTCAGTCCCTGACGGCAGCCACATCAAGCAGATGCGTAACTGGGTTTAGGAGCGCTGGTGGAGGGCCTCCCAAGGAATGAATGAGGTTTGGCTTGTTGATGCGAGTAAGCTGACGCATGAGAGTACGAGAATGTTCAGCAGGCGTGCACAGACACACAGGAATGAATGAGCTTGACACACACACTCGTGTTCGTGTGAGACACTTGCACCAACATGCACAGAGGGCCAGCAATGCAGGTAAAGAAGGGGTATTCTTTACATTTGTTTTACTGGAAAATACATAAAGAAACACTTCATAAACATTGTAGCAAAAGATCACAACAATAGAGAAAGCCAGAAGAAAATGCGAGGAAACTTTGGAAGGCTAGAAGACGGGAAATATATGGAGAAATGGGAGCCAGGGTTTGCCCACAACCTGCTGACCAGCCAACGGGGGCACCTCGTGGCATTGCCCAAATTACCACATCTGGTCATTTCTTTCATGGAGCTACTCATGCATGAAAGTGGTTCAAGTACCTTTGAAAAGAGCAAAGCAAGGACCCTTGGTTTAATAAGTTTGGGTACATCTTTTATGTTCTCTGAACCTCCTATGAGGATCCAGGATAAACCATTTGTTTCCAGTTATGAATGACAGCTAAGTAGAATGGAGAATGCCTAGGTTAGTGGACGAGAAGGCTAAATTATAGGGCTGAATTCTTGTGCTCATCAGGACATTCACATGTTTCTTTAAAAACTGCACATCAAGGTAAAAGCATTAGTCTGCAAGACTGGTTACAGGAGTCACTCATGTTAATGTGTTTCCACCACAGAACAACCCCTGACCTTAACTTGACCCTGTCTTGGCTGCTGCAGGGGTGTAGACCTTAGCTGTGCTGGCCTTCTCATTTGGCACCTGAGACTGAGGTAACAGAAGAAACATAGGGGTCAAGACTCAAACACATCATCATTGCTGCATGGCAGGGCTCACGCTCTTACTGAAACTGTGAGCCCTGACAGACTACCCTGCTTAACCTAGAGCATTTGGACCTTTGCTTTCCTTGGCCTTTCACTTAAAATGCACGTGGGTAATGCCATTAAAAATTTAGTAAGGTAAAGACTTTTCTTCAGATGTCTCAGTTGTGTAAACCTGCTTCTCTCCTGCATACTCGGACCTAAGAGTTATTAGCACCAGACAGGGCGGCTCTATCCAAATTGTTTAAGTCGGGGAAGGGAGAGAGAATTACTTCTTAAAGTTTCAGCTTCTGGTAAGGGAGTTAAACTGTAAGTGTTTTAAGAATTTAGGTCACTAGAAACAATTCTCAAATATTTATTTCTAAGAGACCCCCCCACATTGGATTACTAATGCCTCCTTCACCTTCCAGAGGGCCAGTTAATCAACTATATTGGCAAATACAGGAATAAATTAAGGGAAAATATCCATTTAATTCTCATTGGTGAATGTACTTGCATAAGTGATTCAGACCTAAAGAACAAAAAAATAAAAATAACTACTGGATAAAAACAAAATGGTGAGGTGGGGTGCGTGGCTGCAGCTAAAACACGCTCTCATCCACAGAATTCAGGGGCAACTGATACAGGGTCTTTCAACTGGGCTGAAGAACCTCTCTATTATTCTAAATAGTCTACAGTAATTATACCCGTCTTTCAGTGTCACTGAACAAGCTACTATGCTAGGCTAAGGGATACAAACTTTTAAGGGGATTAATTTGAATTTAGCCTTCCATATATACTAGAATTTGAGAAAATTCATTAATGCACAGAGAAATGCAAAAAACATAAAAGAAAAGAAGATAAAGGAATGAGTTTGAATAAATTAAATCAGTAACATGAAGAAATAGTCAACCATTAGCAGCTTCTCTGGAACAAAAGTAAGGCACTGGCACTCAATGGTGTTGCCCCATCTAAACTGATTAAGGGTGGAAAGGAGAAAAGCATTATTTCATAAATATCTGAGCCACTGAAAAGGAGTTAAACTGCTGGGGGTTGTTTTTGTTTGTTTGTTTGTTTTGCTATCTTAGGTCATTAGAGCCCATTCACAGATACTCATTTCTGAGAAGAAGTCAAAGAATACTGAAATAGAGCCAAGCAATATTCCTAATAAAGGAATAAAAGAGCAATAAGCTAAACCCATGGAACCACAGACTTCTCTATATAAACTAAATGAGTGTTACCTTGCTGGACTCTTCCAGCTGAGTGCCTCGTTTCCAGGCTTCGGAGAAGATGGAGCTCACGATGCTTTGGGAGCGCACGTGGCCTGCAGGCTGGGTGTCAGATACTCCACTATCAGACTGATTAGAGTGATTTGACTGAGACTCTGTTTAGAATACATTTTCAAAAACAGGATTACATAAGTTAGTTTTCTGACAGTATGAATATGTATGTTCAGATAGGTCTTTTACATAAGACCAGGTGCTCTCCAGAACAGCAACAAGTGACTTTTACTCATTTCATACAAGCACAATCCATATTTCCCACTAGAAAACTTCCCTTACCTTGGGGCTAATAGGTAATCTCGATTCTTTTAAAATAGTTTACCATGAAAGACTGATAATTACAATAAAAGGTTCATATAACGTTATTGGTATTCTGACAATCTGACTTAGGAGAATTAGCAAATAAGAGAATTAATAAATCTTCAATAGAGTGACTCTTTTTTTCAGTACCTTCATTACATTTGGAATCAATCTTTCAACAAACCCCTGCTCTAGACCACCCCAGAGAGTTCTCACTTATGCATTCACACTTACACATGATGATGATTATGTCTTTTTCCTCAGCAATGAACACTACTGAGAATGTGACCCTCGGTGAGAAGTGTTTCCTAGGGATTCAGGTATTGGCACCACAAGGCAGCAGCTGCACTGCAGCCTGGCCTCCAGCAAAGCATGAAAACAAGTCTTCAAGGAAGCTGGGAATGGCTGAGGATACAGTGTAATTTGACTGACATCCAGGGTGAAAGAACTGGGAAGATTATTTCACTGGACTGCAGGTCAGGTAAGATAACATGTGGCAGCACCTAGCCCCATGCCTGGCATCTGGTGGAGACTCAAATGTTAAAGCCAGTACCATCCAGTCACTCTGTGAGAAGTAGTATTATTAGATTGCCGAAGATACTGAACCCTAACAGTAAAAAAGAAATACATATACCTATTTATTATAATTTTGAAATTAGGTGTGGCTCTGGTTTTTAAAAATCGAGATGAAATAACCAGATCTACTAGCAGTCTACGGAGATACCTTCATACTGTGCTTTGGGCATTTCCAACTACCTGGGATGCTGGAAGAACTGGATCCTGATTTAATGCTGGAGCTGGATAAGGAAGTCCAATCATAAGCTGACTCTGTCCTCTTCAAGGCTTCTTGATAGTTCATGTAGAGCTGCTTTCCATACTAAACAGAAGGCAGTAAATGATGACATCTGAGCTTTACGGGACATGACACAGATGGATAAGGTAGGAAAGGGGGATATATTTCTATTTACTGGTTCATAATTTGTATTAAAATTAATACCTGTGATACTTCAAAAATTCTTTTAATACCAGTAAATTATAATCTCTTCTTATTTTTCTTCATTTTTATGAAGGCAGCAAGAATTTAACACTTGATTCTGATTGTGTTTATTATTATAAAGATGTTTTCCAATTATTCCTAAAGCAACTTTGATTTTACAGCTATAATAAATTTTATTTTCAGCTACTTAATAGGCATAAATACTCCCTCAACTATTATGTATAATCATCTTCAAGTTGTCCTTTAAAAGGTTTTTTTTTAAGACTTGCTTTTTTTTAGAGCAGTTTTAGGTTCACAGAAAAATTGAGAGGAAGGTACAGATTTCCCATATAGCCCCAGGGCCCTAAACATGCACCGCTTCCTGCATTATGAACACTCCCCCACCTGAGTGGTACATTTGTTTCACTCAATGAACCTACATTAACATATAATAACAAAGTCCATAGTTTACCTTAGATTCACTCTTGGTGTTGTACATTCCATCCATTTGGACAAATGTATAATGACATGTATCCATCATTATTGTATCACACTGAGTATGAATATCTGCACTGCCCTAAAAATCCTGTGTTCCGCCCATTCATCCCTCCCCCGACCTCGAGGCAATTTGATTTTCAAAATATTTCTTTTGCTTAGGCTAAACTCTGCCATATAAGAATCATATGTGTGCGGCAAAGCCAAAAGAAATCATTTTGATACTACATAAGCTTTTACCAGCAGTATTATTCCATAGATACCAACTGTTAAAAGTTTATGCCCATCACCAAAGAAAAAAACACATTTAAAACATAAAAACTTAGGTCTGAGAAAACCAGACATTGGCAAAATCATACAACAACCAAAATAACTACCGTGACAATCACTAAATACCTCATCATTCTGTCATCAAACCAAAAGAAAGCCTACCTTTGCAATACGAATACCATTAACCCACTGGTGCAGGGTCCTCACATCATCACAGCAAAGGTATTTGATGTACTGAGATTTCTTCTGAATCTGTGGGTGCTGAAACATTAAAGTCCAACTAAGTTGCCAAAAGAACTAAATAAAAAACGCTTAAACATATCCTGATAAGTTATGGGCCATCAGAGTAATAGGCCAAATAATTTACACCTCTTATATGGCCATTAGGTCAAATAAAACGGCCTATAAGTACTTTGACAGAAGAAACTTGTGTTAAACTTTAAGACAAAATATCCAAGTTAAAAAAATACCATCACATCCTGTGAAATTCCCAGATACCCTTCCACATCTCAAAGAAAAAAGTCTATCAAGGGTAACAGTTAGTAGAATTCTTAATCTATAAGACTATGAAATGCAGCCAGGGTAGCTCAGTTGGTAAGAGCGCGCGCGAGCTCTGAACAACAGAGATGCTGGTTCAATTCCCACATGTGCCAGTAAGCTGCAGCCCCTACAGCTAAGATTGTGTACAACGGCTTGACCTCGACCTAGAACTGGCTGCCGTGATCAGCCGGCCAATGGCCAGCGACCAACTGCCTCACAGGGTAGAGCGCAGTGCTCATACTACCAACATGGGCCAGTGAGCTAGGAGCTAGGTCCTCCACAACTAGACTGAAACAATGTCTTAACTGGGGGGGGGGGGGGGGGGGGGGGGGACGACGACGACGACTATGAAAAGGAAAAATAATGTGATTTCACTTTGAACCCACTGAAAGCATGGGTTCAGAAGACTCCAAATGAGAGCATCTGGGAAAGCTCCTGGGGCTTCTCTGCAGGTGAATGCTGGGGGGTGGGGGGGGCGAAGCGGCAGGGCACAGTACTATGGGCTGGCTCTGCAGGCCCCTCCGCCTGCAGCACGTGCCGCCCAGGGAACCAGCAGCTCTTCAACTGCATCATCAGATTTAGTTTTCACAACCCAATGGAGTTTTCAGTTGAGGACTGGATAGAAGGTGACTGACTTGACCTTGACTACAAAATGCAAGTGCTAGAACAAAGTATTTTAATTCAACTGGGCCACTGATGGAACCACTAGTTCCCTGGCAAGAAAAACCCTAAATCTCACTTGATTCTGGATGTAGTGATTATTAATTACTAATTCTCTTTTCAGTTATTTTGGGGAAAACAAACAAAAAAACAAACAAAAAAACCATGGCTATATTTTACCTGAAGAAATATTTAAATTTATGTTCAATTATAAGAGGCTTTAAAAATTCTCTAACAGCACTCGTTTGTTGTGGAATCCCATGAAAGCAATAAAATAAGCAATTTGAATAAGTTATCAATGCAGCAGAAATAGATGGCCACCAATAAATTATGTATCTGCATTGTTAAAATTACCAATCTCTGGTCTACAATGAAAGAAATGTAATTCATTTATTTATTCTACACATATTGCTTTACAGAACTCAGCTCCTATGATAAAACATTTAATACCAATACCAGTTTAGTTATTGAAGACTAGGTCAGTTTTAAACAATAAAAGGTTAGCAAAACAATACCTAACAGTTTTCTCTGCTGACAACATAGGTTCCACACCCTGCCCTTGGAATACAATCCCCTTGTCCTCATTAAATCACATTATAAAAAAAACACCATAGCAATCTTGAAAGCGCAAAGGAGGACAAGTAGAGGAGTATTTTTTTCTATAAGAGGAGGAAGAGGAATTTTATCTCATTCATTCATTCAAGAAATATTTATTGAACAAGAACTATTTGCCAGATGCTTCAAGTACATGTTGGATACAGTGTTAGAACAAAGAGGCCACAGTTTCTGCAGAAGATAAAATGGGCTGACTAAAAAAGAGTTTTCTTTAGTGTTGCCAACTGGGGCTTGAAGAGCTGTACTCCATCCCCTGCGTCCCTGAGGCACTGCTGACAGTGCAGAGTCCAGGCATTCGAACCAGGGGCTGCAGGATGGCTCTCAGCCTTTATCACCTACCCCTCTCTTATTTACAAACCATTCTTTTTTTTTTTTAATTTTATTAAATTTATTGGGGTGACATCAGTTAATAAAATTATAGGTTTCAAGTGTACAATTCTAAAATACATCCTCTATATATTGCATTGTGTGTTTACTACCCAAAGTTAAGTCTCCTTCCGTCACCAGGTATTTGACCCCCTTTACGCTCCTCTACCAGCCCCCTCCGCGCCTTACCCTCTGGTAACCACTAAACTGTTGTCTGTGTCTATGAGGACTAACCAGTCTTGACTGAATCCTTCCATTTTCTGAGAGTAGAGCTATCTAGCACGGGTGTTCCACTGCAGCACAGGTCCTGACTGAGTGTGTGTGTGTTCTCTACACTAAGGGAGTATTTTTATCAACACAACATCAGAGAAAAGGAAAGAAATGATGCTCTATCCTTCTTCCTCATCTCTCTAACCTGGGAATCCAAATAACACCCTGAAAATTACTATGATATGATTATTTGAATATTTGCAGGTTACTTGCTAGTTTAAAATTCATTTTAGGACCTCAAATATTCTCTTTTACAACCTCCCATATTATAAAGACATTCCTTCCATAGTGTTCATTATGGTCACCTCAGGAGGTTGCCTGTTCCACTAATATACTTTTACTTCACTAAAAGTGGCCTTTTTTGAACACTTAATATGTACCAGGTATATTGCTAAATATTTCACATATAATAGTTCATTCCATCCTCATGAAAACCCTATGATTTACATATTATCTTCACAATCTGAGAAGAAATTAAGGCACAGAGGGGTTAATACCACACTCAAAGTTATTTGCCAATAGTGAAAGAACCAGGATGTGAAATCGATAGGGTAGGTAGATAGAAATGAGCAGAAGGAGAGACCTAGCCTCAGTTAGAAAGTCCCTTGCTGCAGCTCCTACTGGGGTCAGGACCCCCTGCAGCTGCCCTCACTTACGGCACCAATGCCTTTGCAGGATTCCAGGCTCACACATGCCCCTAAATCAAAGGGATGTGTCTTTAGAAGCCAGGGAAGGATGGAAACTAGACTTTTATATGTTTGTATAGATAGTGAATTGTTATGTTATACACCTGAAACTTATATATTATTATTAACCAATGTTACTTCAATTTAAAAAAGAAAAAAAAAAGGTATATAAGCTTTCAAATCCCACTATTTTGAGGGGTGTTTACTTTTTTCTCCTGTGATATTTCCATGCACATAATATTAAAAATAAATTAGTATACCTTTTCTCCTGTTAAAAAACAGTTAGTGGTCATAATTTTGGTTGTAACAGACATTGTTGGTTGCCTGCCCTGCAGCTATCTTCTCCCTATCGCTTTTCTGACAGAGCCCCAATTTTGTTTGGATGTCCATCCCTTACCTCAGAGGGTGAATTCTGACTAGTCTAAGCCAAAACAGTGGCTTTTTTCCTTGCCAGTGATGGGTTTAAGTGTGGGCATGTACTCTGGGCCAATGACCCTCAAGGGGGAGGGCTGTTGGTAGGTCCTGGAAAATACTTCCTTTCTCTTAAAAAACACCAAGTATAGGGAGAAATAGTGCCTTATCTTCTGATGGATTTTCTGGGTCACCATGTGATGCCTAGAACTGCAGTGGCATCTGTGACTGTAAGGTGAGCCAGCCTGAGAATAAGCTGATACGCAGAAGATGAACAGGGAAAGATGGAAAAAACTGGGGTTCCCACTGATAATCCTAAGCTGTTAAAATAACCAATTCTTACTGTCTTCATGCTATGAGACCCCCAAATAACTTTTATTTATATGGGTTATGTCTATTGATATTTACCTTATAAGAAATTAAAACAGAAAAATTAAAATAAAAGAATACACAAATACACATTCCACTACCAAAGAAAGCAAAGATATCACATGTTATGTGACCTCTTTAAAAACTCAATTTTACATCTAGGAGAGAAAGAGTGTAAACGGCAAATAACATCTTAGCATTGTTAGAAGAAGAAGAATGCCATCACAAACCCCTTGACAAGGATCTCAGGGACTTCCAGGGGACCTTGGACCTCATTTTGAAAACTGCTGGATTAAGCTACTTTGTGCTGACTTTTAAAAAATTATTTGCTGTTGTAACCTAAATGATACAGTGGTATTCTCCAAGAAAGGATTACCTAATAAAGGGTTACCATTACAATACACATAATTTTATCAAAACAGTCAAAACTCTACCCCAAAACCCTAAACAAACACCATCCCCTCAAACCCAATTGACAATTTTCTGAGAAAAGCAAAATCAAATGACATAAACATGCAGACCTAAGTAGTTACCAAAAGGTATCTAAGATGGAACCAATGAGAAAAACTTAAATATCTCCATAATTATCCTGAATTTTTAAATGTTGTCTTTGTTGATATTCCAACAGATCACTAAAAATTCACTAAAAATATCAGTTTTCAAAGTACAGATATAATCGGTATGAGAAAAGCTAAAATTTTAGATAAAGGAGGAAGAAAACCTCACTAAAAACAGCTCAGGTAGGTTACAATACACACATGAGTTATCAGGGCTATGGTTGGGGGAGAAGGGAAAGAGACAAAAATTATTTCTGGACAAGATGAGAGACAGTCCACTTTGACCTTGGGCACAGTGCCCTCTGATGGTTCTGCTGAGTAAGTACAGGAAAAAAACTAAAAATACCTATGTCCCACATTTGGCTGTGATCTCAATTTTCCTAAAATAAGCTTGCTATTAAATGAAAGTCTCAAATTTATAATCAAATCTATTTTATATATCATGATTCAAAGCTTACAATCAGTATCCATTTCTCAGTAGCATCAATCTAATAAGGGCTACATAGCTACGGGTCAGCTGTGGTATAACACACACACTTCTTTTCCTTACTATCCTTCACCATTCCTTTAAAAACCTATAAAACAAAAGCAAAAATAGTATACTCAACGGAGATCCAAACTATTCTAACCTCCAGTAACCTACTCTATGCCTAACATCAATTAAAATTCCTAAAAAGAGATACATATTTACCTTTAGCACCAGACAATAGTCCGTAGGTGCTTTGTATTTGTTCCGATAGTCCTGTCCATAATAAACATTGACATGATCCAGCTGGAGAAAGCACAC